AACACTAGCTAAAAGAAACAAAAGTCTGGCAAAAAGCTAAAAAGGACTTAAACTAAAGTTAAAAACTAAAAACAGCAGAATGGTGGCAAGAAGCTAAAAGTAGCCAAAAGTTCCCTACAAGCTAAAGGTTACCTAAAAGCTAAAAGTAGCAAAACGCTACCTAAAAGAAACAAAAGTCTGGCTAAAAGGTAAAATGGAACAAAACACAAACTAAAAGTAGCAGAATGGTGGCTAGAAGCTAAAAGTAGTCAAAGGTTCCCTAAAAGCTAAAACTAAGAAAAGGTTACATAAAAGCTAAAACTAATAATAGATTACATAAATCTAAAAATAGCAAAAACACCAGCTAAAAGAAACAAAAGCTGGCTAAAAACTAAAATAGGGCATAAACACAAGTTAAAAGCTAAAATTAGCAGAATGGTGACAGGAAGCTAAAAGTTGCCAACTAACAAAAGGTTACCTAATAGTTAAATGTAGCAAAACACTATCTAAAAGAAACAAAAGTCTTGCAAAAAGTTAAAAGGACCAAAACACAAATTAAAAACTAAAAGTAGCAGAATGATGGCTAGAAGCTAACTGTAGCCAAAAGTTCTCTAAAAGCTTAAACTAACAAAAGGTTACCTAAAAGTTAAAAGTAGCAAAACACAAAATAAAAGAAACAAAAGTCCGGCTAAAAACTAAAGTAGGACAAAAACACAAGATATAAGATAAAAGTAGCAGAATGGTGACAGGAAGTAGCAAGAAGTTACCAAGAAGCTAAACGTAAAGGAACAATAATTACAAGCTAAACGCAACAAAAGGCTAGCTTTAAACACAACCAAAGAGTAGCAAAATATTTGCTACAAAAAAGTAGCAAAAGGTTCCCTAGAAGCTAAAAACACTGGCTAAATGCTAAAAGATGTAATAGGCTTGCTAAAAGTAGCAAAAAGGTAGCTAATGGCTAAAGTAGCAAAAGGATAGTTAACATTAGCAAGACATGGTAAAAGCCAAAAGTAGGAAAACATTATGTAAAAGTAGCAATGGACAACTAAACATAACAAAAGGACAACCAGATGCTAAAAGCAACAAAAAAATACTAAAAGTCCAAGTAGCAAAATGGTCTGGTAACAGCTAAAACCAGCAAAATGCTAGCTAAAGGTTGCACAATAGTAACTGAAAGCCAGAAGTATCAAAGGCTTGCTAAATGATAAAAGCAGCTAAACACTAATTAACATAGCTAAATGATAGCTAAATGTATCAAAACACTAGCTAAACTTAACAAAAGGATAACTAGAAGCTATAAGTAATTAAAACACTATCTACAAGTCAAAAGTAGCAAAAGGCTAACTAAACGTAGCACAATGGTAACTAGAAGCTGGAAGTAACAAAAGGCTAGTTAAAAGATTAAAGTAGTAGAATGGTGTAGCTATAGCATAAGAAGACCAAATGGAGCCAATCTGCTGAAGCAGAGTTCAAAGAGTGAAGTGATGCGTGTTGTCATTATTGCACACGCACACACAACAATGAAACTTGTCCTCTGCTTTTAACACAACACGCAAGGAAGAAGCACACAAGTGGAGCAGCGGGCTGCTATTTAAGAGCCCGGGGAGCAGTTAGGGATTAGATGTCTTGCTCAAAGACAGCACAACAGGTGAACATGGCAGGGAATTGAACCTTTGGCCTTCTGGTCCCAAGACAACTGTCCTATCACTGTGCCACACTCACCCAGAAGACATTGAAAAATACAGAAACCAAAAACTGGCTCCACATTCATACCATCGAACAATTTAATGACCAGTGATCATATTCTGAAAGGGTTTAAGTTTAGTAGAATAAAAGTTGTAAACAAACCACTTGCTGTTTTTATAAAACTGCTCAAATAAAGTTAAAATAAATAAACAAACAAGCCACTTCCTGTTTTATTAAAGTGGTTCAAATAAAGGTAAATAAAAAAACAAACCGATTACTGTTTTTATGAAATGGCTCAGCACCGTGGCGCCACTGATAGAGCTGTTGCTGCTCAGCGAGAAGGTTGCCGGTTCAAATCCCAGTCCAGGGGCCTTTCTGGGTGAAGTTTGCATGTTCTCTTCATGCTGCGTGGGTTTTCTCTGGGTACTCCTGTTTCATCCCACAGACCAAAAACATGCATGTTAGGCTGATTGGTGACTCTAAATTGTCCCTAGGTGTGAGTGAGTGAGTGAATGGTTGTCTCGTTTGTCTCTTTGTGTCCCTGTGATGGACTGGAGACCTGTCCAGGGTGTCCCCCGCCCCTCGCACAGTGACTGCTAGACATGGTACTGGTGACCCACGTGACCCAAAATGGAAGAAGTGGGTAAAGAGGATGGATGGATGGCTCAAATAAAGGTAAACAAATAAACAAATCCCTTGCTGTTTTTATGAAATGGCTCAAATAAAGGTAAACAAATAAACAAACCACTTGCTGTTTTTGTAAAACAACTCAAATAAAAGTAAATTAATAAACAAACACTTGCTGTTTTATTAAAGCGGTTCAAATAAAGGTAAACAAATGAACAAATCCTTTTGTAGTTTGTGTTCTGTTTGTTTCTTTAGGTGACATTTGAGGCTGTGACGTGTTTGGGTCCAGTGATCACAGAACTCCAGCAGCTCAGATGATTGGACCTTTGTTCTGATCGCTGGTTTTAACTGAACATTTTCTGCACGTGCTCGTCTGTTTTTATCACAGAGGTGCAGTTCTGACCTGAGCTTATATAACAGTTGAAGAATGTTTGCAATTTTGTTCATCTCTTTTCTTTTTCAAATCTTGTGTCAGTTCTTTAAGTTGATTCTCTTTTCTCCCACTGCATGTTCTCCACCCTAATGATCAATCAGTTTTTAGGGAAACGTTAAGGAAATAATCATTTATTAACTTTTGGAGTCAATCCAGTTTAGGATGGCTGCCAAACCTAATCAGCAAAAGCCAATAGTAGTAGTAGCTGAGAGTCATTCACAACACATACGCTGAGCACATCTTTTCTGTTTGTCATGAAGGACGGCGGGCGATATGCATTCCTTAAAAATTACAAATTTAGTTGAGTAAATGCTTAATTGTTTTTAAGTATGAATATGTGTGTATGTGCGAATAAAACATACACATTTCTATTTTCACCTAAATAAGTTGTGCACACATTTTATTTTTATTCTGGGCTGAGAAATGGAGGTTCGGTTCGTGTTCCATCAAACTTCTCGTGTGTTTTCCAGCTGAAGAACACGGAACAGAAGGAGTTAACGTGTCACATGGCAGCGGCTGGTATTATCAGCCCCGGGCTGTGAAAAAAAAAATGTATGAGGAAAAAAACCCTAAAGAGAACAAAGAAATCAGAGTGTATTTAAAGAGAGGCAGCCGTGCGTCTCCCGCACTCCGCTGCGCCTGAGCCCGCCTGTGCGCCAGCAGGATGCGGACTTCTCTACTTGTGTGCGTCTTTGCGCTGCACAGCTTCCCGGGCATGCTGGGTCTTCCAGTGCGCAGAACCGGCAGGTACAAAGTTACACCGGTGAGTTGAACTTTTTTTTAATCCCTCCTGTTTTTTTTTTTAATGATTTTTTTTTTTTAAGCTGATTTCTGACGCAGGATGTTTGTCTTTTAAACAGCTGCGCGCTTGCAAAACCTGCCATTCCTGTTATTTTGTGCTCATTTTACTGTTGATTTTCTTTATTGGAGGGATTCCACTCCCTCCCCCCTCTGACAGCACATGCACACGCTCACTCATGCGCAACAGATCGTCTCGTTTGTCACAGATCTGAAGCAGAGTTTGCGCCTAAACAACCTGCCTTATAAAATATTCGTTTCAGGTTCAGGAATGCGTGTTTCCACATCCCTGTGCACCTTTTCCTCTGAATCATCAGGACCAAAGACAAAACTAATGTTGTCATTTTCCAAAGATAACACTTATTGTTATTATTTCAACGTTTCCCTCTTCAGCGGTCGCCACCGCCAGTCATCCTGCTCCATCTCACTCTCCTCTGCATCTTCTGTCCTCTCTACTGCATGCATATCTCCTTTTTGTCTTTTTCCTGGCAGATGCATTTCTAACAACCTTCTACCAGTATACCCACTGTCCCTCCTCTGGACATGTCCAAACCACTGTCCCTCCTCTGGACACGTCCAAACCATCTCAGTGTGTCCTCTCTAACTTTATCTCCCAGTTCAACCTGTGCTGTACCTCTGATGATCTCATTCCTAATCTTCTCCATCCTTGTCACTCCTAAGGAGAACCTCAACATCTTCATTTCTGCCACTTCCAGTTCTTTCTCCCGTCTTTTTGTCCATGTCATTACACACTTATTGTCACAAATCACTCCTGAAACTTTGCTCCATCCACTCCATCCTGCCTGGACTCTCTTCTTCACCTCTTTACCGCACTCTCCATTCTCCTGGACAGTGGACCCCAGCACTTGAAGTCCTGCACCTTTGGGACCTCTGCTTCTTGTAGCCTCACTGTTCCACCTCCTCCCTCTCATTCACACATGGACTCGGTCTTACTATGACTGACTTTCATTCCTCTTCTTTCAAGTGCATACCTCCACCTCTCCAAGTTCCCTTCCACCTGTTCTCTGCTCTCACCACAGATCTCAATGTCATCTGCAAACATCATAGTCCACGAGGATTCCTGCCTGACCTCATCTGTCAGTCGGTCCATCACCAGAGCAAACAAGAAGGGGCTCAGAGCTGATCCTTGATGCACTCCCACCTCCAGCTATCTGTCACTTCTACAGCACATCTCAACACTGTTCTGCTGTCCTCATACATGACCTGTACCAGCCTAACATACTTCTCTGCCACTCCAGATTTCCTCATGCAACACCACACCTCCTCCCTCGGCACTCTGTCAGATGCTTTTTCTAAATCCACAAAGACAAAATGGAGTTCTTTCTGACCCTCTCTGTACTTCTCCATCAGCATCCTCAAAGCAAAGATAGAATCTGTGGTGCTCTTTCTTGGCATGAAACCATACTGCTGCTCACAGATAGTCACCTCTCGTCTAAGTCTTGCTTCCACAACTCTCTCCCAGATCTTCATCGTGTGGCTCATCAACTTAATTCCCCTGTAGTTGCTACAACTCTGAACATCACCCTTGTTCTTAAAAATGGGCACCAGCACACTTCTTCTCCATTCTTCAGGCATTTCCTCACCCTCAAACATGCCATTGAATATTTGAGTCAAAAACCTCACTGCCATCTCTCCAAGACATTTCCAAACCTCCACTGGTATGTCATCAGGTCCTACTGCCTTCCCCTTTTTCATTATTTTCAGAGCTTTCCAGACTTCCCCCTCACTAATCTTCCCTGCTTCCTGGTCCACAGTTTCTATGAGCTTTACTCTTCTTTCTCTTTCATTCTCTTCATTCATTAGCCCCTCAAAGCACTCCTTCCATCTTCCCGTCATGGTCACATCACTTGTTAGAACATTACCATTCCTATCTTTAACTAGCCTAACCTGCTGCACATCCTTTCCAGCCTGATCCCTCTGTCACGCCAATCAATACAACTCCTTCTCGCCCTTTTAGTATCCAACCTCCCACACAGCTCATTGGCCTTCTGCTTTGCTTTTGCTACCTCCCTCTTTGCTCTATGTTGCATCTCCTTATATTCCTGTCTCCTCTCCTCAGTCCTCTCACTGTCATATTTCTTCTTGTCTAACCTCTTTATTTGAATAGCTTCATGCACTTCACTATTCCACCACCAGGTTTCCTTATCATCCATTCTCTGTCCAGATGACACATCAAGTACCTTCTTACCTGTCTCTGTAATTACTGTTGCTGTAGTAGCCAGTGTCATCTAAGCGACACCATTCTGGAACGATCGAGACCCGGGTTAACAACAACCGCCACTGGTGCTGTTGATAAATAGAGTGCTGGCCCAACACTAATGTTGTCATATTCTAAAGACAACATTAAGGTTGTCATTTCTAATGACAACATTAGTGTTGTCATTTAGAAAATTGTTATTTTATTTTTACCTGCCTCTGTAATCATCCTTTTAGGAATAACCATCATCACTGTTTGTGCTGATTCAGCATTACACTGCTTTTCTCCTGTTTCTAATTTGTCAGCATCTTTTTTTTTTTTTACTTCAGCTACTTTCAACAATTTTATCCATTTAAGTATAAACAACAACTCTTTTAGGAGATTGGAGCCATGACTTTTAATATTTCTAACTTTTATACATTATATATTTTTAATCTTTTTTTTGTTTTCATTGAAATTTAAATATTTTTATATTATTTTAGTTTCTGTTTGGCTGGTTTTAAACATTAGCTATTGTTTTGCTAATAGCTTTCAGGTTGTGTTAATTTTCACTTTAGGATGATCTATCCATCCATTATCTTTACCTGCTTCTTACTTTTGGGATCGCGGGGGCCATATCCAGCAGTCGCTGTGCGAGGGGCGGGGGACACCCTGGACAGGTCACAGGGACACATAGAGACAAACAAGACAACCATTCACTCTCTCTCTCTCACTTAGGGACAATTTAGAGTTACCAATCAGCCTAACATGCATGTTTTTGGTCTGTGGGAGAAAACCGGAGTACCCGGAGAAAACCCACGCATGCACAGACATGCAAACTCCACCCAGAAGGGTCCTGGGCAGGGATTTGAACTGGCAACCATCTAGCTGAGAGGCGGCAGCGCTACCAACTGTGCCACTGTGCTGCCAATACTTTAGGATGGTGTTACAGTATGGTAATTCTAGATTTTAGCTACTCTTTTTTTTGTTGTTGTTATAATTTTAGCTTTTGCTGATTTATCATTAATAATGTTTTTAAAGCTTTTGCTTATATCTTCGGTTGTGCAAATTTTAGCTTTTTACTATAGTTTTCCAGGTTTTCACATTTAGCTCTTCATTTTTGTATTTAGGTACAGTTTTGCTAATTCTTACGTTTAACTGTGTTCTTCTATTTGGGGTTTTAGCTACAGCTGTGCTAATTTTAGGAGTGGCGGCACAGAGGTTAGAGCAGGCGAGTTTGTGATCGGAAGGTCGCCGGTTCAACTCCCTGAACTGACAACATCAAAATGACCAACACCTGCCTCCAACCTCATTTGCCCCACGCTGGGCCCTTGAGCAAGGCCCTTAACCCCCACCATCTACTCCCTTGGGTGCCCTAGGTGGCAGCTCTCTGCTCCACACAGAGGGCTGTGGTAGCTCAGTGGTCTGTGGTTGCGTCAGGAAGAACATCCGGCGTAAAAACAATCGCCAAGTCTTCGTGCAAGTTAGTTCGCTGTGGCAACCCCTGAAGAAGGGAGCAGCTGAAAGAAGAAAAATCCTTAGCTTTTAACTCATAGCTGCAGTTTTCATGATTTTAGCATTTAGCTTCTGTTTTGTTAACTTTAGCATTTAGCTATTGTTTTGATAATGTTCGTTTTTACCGACTGTTTTGCTAATCTTAATTTCTGTTCTGCCTTTTATTTTTTTGCCAATGGAGTTTTAACAGTTTCAACAAATGTCATTCAACACTCAGGAGTCAGACTGCAATTTGCAGAGAACGTTCATCTTTATTGTCACTCTGGTGTCTGCTCAGTGTCACGTCATCCTGCAGTCCGCAGCCGAACCTCGTGTCTCTGCATGACAGCCGAAAGTTTTGGTTCTGCAACATGATTTCTGCAGAGAAAGGAGTGAAAAATGAAAGGAGTTCTGCTGCAGGGTGGCATGAAGCAGTAATAACAGGTCCTGGAGGCATTTTATCAACAGAACCGTAAAAAAGAACATGTGGACCCGTCATGGTGGCGTCAGAAAACACTTTCTGTCCCAGATTTGTTTGGTGTTTTTTTATGTAATTGCCTGTGTGGGTGTGTTCATTGTCCTTTAGCAACATATTTCATGAACTACTAGATAGATTTTACTGAAACTCTCAGAAAATAATTATTTGATATACATTTACAACTGATTACCTTTTGGAGTCATCCTGATTCAAGATGGCCACCAAAGCTAATCAGCTTTAGCAAACACAAAAAGTCAAGAACTCTGGTAATTTTACAGATATTTAACTAAAATCTGGTGCAGTAGCAGCTGAGTCTTTCATGACACTAAGTACGAACAAAATGTACAAACTTTTTTGGTTTAAAGCATTGGCATGCAAGGTGGCAGGAGTTATGCATTTATTTATTATTCATTACTTCTTTATTCTTGTTTATTGGACATTTTTCATTCTATCGCTCCAACTGTTACAACAACTACATTGTATTTTTTTCACCTCCCATCTTCTCTCAAATTACTACTTCCTTAAACAAATATTTAGCCGTTGTTTACAGAGTGGACTTGTTTAGCACGCATGGCTCTTCGAAGGAATGTCCTGTTTACAGGTACACAGAAAAACAGTTTATCACAACAAGCGGGCGGCGTGCAGAGTGGTGGAGAAGAATGTTGTTGTTACTGAGAAGAGTTTAGAAGCTGCACTCTAACATTTATTATGTAACTGCTGATTCAGCATTCTCCTGATTTTTGTTTCCATACGTGTTTGTAGTCCTGACTACTTCTGCAGACTGTGAGCTATTTTA